AAACCAAGTGTACAAAACAACCCGAAAGGGTCTGCATGAAGAAAAAAACCACGATCAAATTGCGGCGGGTACCCAATCCCCTTCACGCGCAAGTTGAAAAAAACTGCACAAGGCAAACAAAGGTGACGTGTGTGAAGCTGTGGTACCACATCCAAATCAGAAAAGAAAAGCACATGTACGAGAACAGGGAGCCAACACCCATGAAGGAGAGACAAACCACAAAAAAAACGCAACCAAAACCGTGCACAACACGATGCGCCGTAGACCATGTAGGAGCGACAAAACAAAACACAAAACAAAACAAACGAGTGTCACAAACGAAAAAACAAAACGTATCCAGATGACACAAGAGTTCCAAAACGACCGCAGCAGGTACGAAGCTACAAATGAAATGTGGAATTAGGCGCTAGCAACACGCCGAAAGCAAAAAAAAAAAAAAAAGGACAATCGACAAAACAACCACGCAAGCACGTGCGTGACCGCGGGCCTGAGGCTCCTCGGCAGAAAGGGTGAGACCCTGTTCGGTAGGCATTTGATGCCGCAAAGGGACGACAAAAGCTGGGTTGGGTGCTGGAGAAAAAAAAAAAAAAGTGACGAGACAGGACAGGAGACGGTCCAGCTATTGTCCCAAGGGAAGCGAAAGAAAGCACGAGAGATTTTTCTACTCACCTCCTGAGAGGTGATGCCCACGCAGTGACCGTGGAACCAGCGGTGACACCGGTCACAGTCGAGCATCATCACCCCGCCCTCCCCGCCCCCCGTGTCCCTACCAGCACCGCCGCAGATGCACAGGATGCGCTCCTCCTGTGTACCCAGCCCCCCGACCCGCCCGCAAAGGAACAAAAAATTGGGACGAAAATGTAAGCGGAGGGAGCAAGGCATGAGATAGGCTGCTGTGTGGACCAATAGGGCGTCACTTTGCAACGCGCATTCTTCGCCTTTGCACACGCATGAGTACACAAAAAACGTTTTTTGTTGTGCTTGCGTTCGATTCAACAAGTGCTTTTCCATGTCTATTTTTGTGCTATTAGCGGCTCAAACGACAGAATCTGATTTCTGCCTCCGTACTGACAGAGCGCTGATTAAAAAGTGGTGATCCAAAAAAGAAATAAAAACCTAGAATAAAACAAGCGCCTCCAGTGGTGATCCAAAAAAGAAATAAAAACCTAGAATAAAACAAGCGCCTCCCTCTACCTCGCGAAGTTCGCATCTCTTCGCCCCGCACTCTCCCTTCAGTATTCCTCGCGAGGATATCAAGATTCGATCTTAGTAGCGAGTTACAGGAGGGTTAGGCCGGAGTTACGAAATCCCCGTCTCTACTTCCACAAAAAAACACATCATAACCTCTTCAAGGCGATACACCTTCTCCTCGTCCCTCACTCGCCCACCTCGTCTCCCGGCTCCCCGCCCTTCCTCCCCTCGGTCGCCTCGGGTAGAACCATTGGACACTCCCTCTCTCGCCTTTTCCGTTCGCCGGATCGTCCAAGTCGGGGGGGCACAAAACACCCCAACACGTCGTCAACAACACTCTTAGTGGTCGACCCGGTCAAGAAGAGCTTAAGTCTAAAATAGTCGATTCCGTGCATCTCAGAAAAAAAGTGGGATATACTCGTTGAGAACAAAAGAGCTGACGTTGGTGAACATAATTTGGTACAACAGCGAAAGCGGGATGGAGGCAGGCGCGTGTTTCGGTTGGCGGTGACAAACTTGTTCTCAAAGTAGGAATAGAACACAACTAGAATCACGCCAAACGAAGCAGCCAACAAAAACAAAAAAACACAACACACGCGACGAAAGAGTACCGCCGTCCCCGCCTCAAGGACGCTTAGGATAACTCAACTCCCAGCTCCAAAGATTAGATATCCTTCACAACCAGGGTGTCCCGTGATGTAAAACTATGGAGGGGGGGTGTCCTCAGGGCAATGCCTGCCGCAGTCGCTAGACCATTGACCTCGCATCCCTACAAAGCCGGGACGGAGCACGCAGGGTTCTCACCGGACCAGGCTAGCACATAAAGGGGGGGGTACCAAAAAAGACGGTTTGCCGCGTTGAAGACGCTTGAAAACACACGTGCGATTGAAAAGCGGGACGACTGCTGTACCTGGTGATATCCGCTAAGCCACCGGCCACCCGTCCGAGGACATCCATGGCCATGAGGCAGTACTGCTGGTCCCTCGCGCCCGAAGAGCCGCCTTTCAGGTCCTTGAGGTCCTTCACCAACGCGCCGCACCTGAACCACAACAACCACAGCAGCAAAATTCACCATCATCAACAACAATCAACGACAACGTCACCACCCAACACCAACAGCAACAACAGCAACGGTGACAACAGCAACGGTGACAACAGCAACGGTGACAACAGCAACGGTGACAACGGCAACGGCAGCGACAACGGCAACGGCAGCGACAACGACGCCGACGCCGAAAATGACAAAAAAACAACGGCACCAACAACAACACCATCAACAGGGACAAGACAACAATAATAACAACCACGACAACAACAACAACAACAACAACAACAACAACAGTAACAAGCACAAGCAGCAAGCACAACAGCAACAACGAATACAAGCGCAAGCAGCAAGCACAGCAACAACGACGGCAACCAGACGACGACGACAGTGACAAAAACAAAGACACCAACACCACCAACACCATCAACAACAAGCAACAGCACCAAAGACGACATACACACTCACAGAGCATGAAGTAGAAGCTCCGCCGCCGGCCACTCCGGAAGCAAGACAGTGGCCAGGAGGTCGTCGACGGTATTTGCCAGGAGCGGCTGGAAGTTGGCGCTCTCCTCCTTGCCGGCACACCTTGACACCCGTAGCACGACACACGGAGCGATCGGTCGCGATCCGAACGACGGCAGGAGACGAGACCAATGAAAATCTAGCTTCACCGGACGATACGCTTCGGGGGAAAAGGAGGAAGACTCCCTTCCTGCAAAGCGGTGCGCTCCCCAGGCGGCAAGCCAATCTACGAAACACAACAAGAGCAGTACTACGAAAAGGCATCGATGCGAGTTCGAGTACAGTCGTGCCAACCACAAAGACACACAAAAGAAAAAGGCACCCCCCACGTACACATGAACACCATTGTCTTCAGGAGCATGTTGCCCCGAAGCATGCTGTCGCGGAGGTCTAAGCTTCAGGATACCTCCTCACTCTAAGGACGCCTTTTTCAGGAGAAACACCATGCACGAGTGGCCTCAAAGCGGGGACACTCGTGGCCAGACCGTGCCCAACAACAGCAACAACAACAACAACAACAACAACAACAATAACAACAACGACAACGACAACAACGACAACAACGACAACAAACAACAAAAAACAAAAAACAAGACCTGGAAAGGAACCGCGAGACGAAGTACGTGGCCGCATTCCTCGCAGGGTTGAGGCCGCTCTGCTGCTGCTCTTGCTGCCGCTTCTTCTGCAGCTGCTGCCTCCTCCTCCTCTCCGCCTTCGAATCCCCCCCCCCTGCCCCTTCCCCGGCCTCCGCCACTGAAACCCCGCCCGCCGCTTGCGGAGGGGAAGTAACGCAAGACTGCAACATAAGCATCACCAGGGCGGTCAAGTTCTGGATGTAACCGTCCGTGCCACCTGGAGGGGACGACAGTCGGGCGTGGTTGGGACACCATCAACAGAGAAGGGCTGAGACTATAAAAAAAGCGCTAAAAAACACTGCGGAAACTATACAGCAGGGAAAACGAACAAAACGCGTTTGTGTGAGGAGGGGGGGAGGGGGGTTAACACTGACAGAGAAAGAAGCGCGGAAAAGAAAACAAGGTGAAACAGCGCACGTCAACGCGGCCACGCACAGGAGTAGGGTTTGGGAGGCACACCGTGAGCAAGGGCGGCAACACGACATCCAACCGGGGGGTGCATCAGGGAGCGACAGGGTTACGAAGGAAAATGATCCGTGAAAAACAGCATGTTGCGCAACCACCAACACCGCGGGGGAATTCGGCGAGACCGCAGTGGGTGGGAGAGAAACCAGAACCCAGCGGGTGAACATTGGGGCGAGGTGACCATCTGACTCGATGGGAGGGCACGCACACGCTTTTCCTTTTTTCGAAAACAAGAGCTGAAACCGTCGGTAGAGACGAACGAAAGGAGAGGGGGTCGACAGAAGAAAACGCACTCCCGCCGTGCCGAACCATAGGGATACACGTCACGAGCGACGACAACAAAGAAAGACATGGTTGTGTGGGGGGGAGAAGAGAGCGAAGACACAGCATAACCACCAACACTATCAGACAACGAAGCAGCAGCATCCCCGAGCAGTAAACGAATCCAAACGCTGCTGTGCTTTCGTGATGACAGCTTGCCGTTCCTTGTCCTTACCGTTGGCGCCGCCGATGGCATCGGGCACGTGGGCGATGCGGAAGGTCCGCAGCTGCCGCCTCCCGGTTGGCATCTTGAGCAACAGCCCGAACACGTCTTCGATCAGCAGTGGGCGAAATGACACGTACCTAAAACAGACCATGGGGGGGGGGGGGGGGGTACTCATGTAAAAGCATGACGTCGTCGTTAGACCGTAGATCGAGCACCCTCGGGACGGAGGGATATGCCGGGTTATCGCGGGCTCAGGGTACGTCTCAAAAGACGAACCAGAAGCTGGTCATAATCTGAACGATCATCGCTTGCTATTGCCTCACCCTAGGCACGTGACCATTGACGAAGTCTTGGTAAGGTTTTCCAAACGGTTCAAGCCTTAAACCGCAAAAGCAGACACCGGTCTCCCACCAACAACGACCCTTACACAGAACCAAACTCACTTTCGGGACACCGTCTGGAGAACTCCCAGCGCTCCGTGCTGCAGGGGCTGCAGTCTTGACGTCCCCTCCCCCCGCCTGTCTGCCGGCGAGGGTGCCTCCAGCACGAGGCAGGTCTTGCAAGCGCTGCACAGCTGCAGAAGCACGTTGTCCTCTAGTCTCACCTGTAGCGTCATTGTATTCCGAACGTGTGGCATTCCATGAGCGGAAATAGAGGAGTACAAGTCAGGACGGTGACGTAATGAACGTCGCATTTTGAACGCGTTTAGGTCTTTGCGTTCGAAGACCTCTTCACTCGAAGGGCGCTGGAGAGCAGGGTGGTGGATGGAATTCAGAGGACTATCAGCAGTACAAGAATCTGTCATCCAGCATAACGACAAAAAATAAACCGACCCCGCCCCATCATTACCAATAACAACAACAACAACAACAACAACAACAACAACAACAACGTTACCGTACCCGAGACACGAGCAAGTCCAGCAGCCCCAGCGCCTCGTACGCCTTGCCCAACGCGCCGCCGGAGACAAGTTTCCTAGAAACTTCTCGCAGCCGCCTCTCTAGCCTCGAGTCGTCCAAGTCGTCGTCCTCGTCCTCGTCATCGACGACACTCCTCTTCTGTTGGGCCCCTCCCTTGCTACCCCCACCCCCTTTGGCCTTCTTGCCCTTGGCCTTGCCGGAGGAAGACTTTCCGCTGCCGTCGGGCTCTGCTTCGGGGTTTGTTAACGAATCGATGCGAAACCGGGTGTACAGAAAAAGATACGCAAAATCGGGTCACAGGCTACACGGTCGCTCGTGCCAAAAAACGCAGAGGAGACGAGAAGAGACCAAACGGGTAAGCACCACTCCGGAATGCTACTTTGTAACTTCTATCTGTGGAAGAGATTAATTAGCTGTGTACATACTTAGTTGCAAGAAGCATAGATACATCAAATGATTTCTTGTAGGACAAGTCAAGGAACAATACGAGACCGTGCCACTCGCAACAAAAAACACCTGATCTGTTCACTACTCCTGGTGTGTCCTTGTGTACGCCAGTGTGCCGTTCGTCGTGTACAGCAGTACGATACCAGTTAAGATCCACAACACTGCTCAACACGAAGATGACAGCTACTACTCGCCGCCGCTGCTGCCCTTCACGACGGATGCTCTACAACAACATGGCTACGAATATGGGGGCTCTTCTGCCGTTCATGTTGACCGCCTTTTGCTTCTGTTCCCCCACACAAAACAAGGATGGAGCTCCATTCCAGCACAAACTACGGTACCCGCCACAACCTTTCCATGCAATACTTACGTATACCAATCATGTCTAATGCGAATGTCGCATTTGAAGCTTTCAAAACGACCGGAAAAAACAGCTGCTCCAAACTACAGCACCTGTTCTGAAGTTCAAATATGTAGATTCAAATCAGGCACCAAGACCCAAGGGCTCAAACCTGCGTTTCCGCCGGTGCTCCCGTCTCCTCCCTTCGCAATAGACATGGCTAACGCTGGGTCGAGCACTGGTGCGACATGCCTCGCAAGGTGGTGCCTGCGGACCGCGATCATCACGGACAGTTTCACGTTTCCAGCAGCTCTTGTTACCGTAGGGCTCGCGGTGAGACATAGAAGATCATCTCAGCTTACTGATTGTTCCTGTGCACAAGTGAGACTCCCTCCCTCCCTCGTTCCATGTAACGCACACAGAGGGGGGCCCTGTGTAGTGCCGGTAAATTTATGTGCTCAGAAAATTCACTGGTATGTATGTACTATACCGGACCGGAACTATTGAAAGTACTGACAATGACTTGGAAATTCAGTGTGTGCCCGCCGAGACCACTATACCGGCACCATCCCGGGTATTGGCACTATTCAACCGGCACTACACGGGAACCCACCCCCCTCTGTACCGAAACGAGAGCACACTCACCTGAACAATCCGATGCAGTGGTCGATCAGCTCGTCCGAGCACAGCTTGCGGTCAAGACCGGGACACGTGACGATCATGAGGCAGACCAGACAGGCCTCCAGGGAGCTCTCCACGCTGGCGAGGGCCTCCGGACCCTCCTGGCAAGAACGGACGAAACAGATACGCAAAAGAAAAGGCACTGGTCAAGCCGACTACGGATACAAAAACAATTTGGAAAGGTGGCGAAACAGATACACATGCAGAAAAAAAAAAAAATGTATGTACTGATCAAGCCGACGAGACAGATGTGCATAAGAAAACGCACTGGTAAGTCGACGAAACAGATATGCCTAACAAAGTCACAGGATCAGCGACCACCACCCCAACAACAAAATCGCCATCATCAACAACAACAACGAACAACAACAACAACACTGATTCCAAGCAAGCGCAATACCACTTTCTCTCGCACCTGCCCCCAGCGCCCGATTCCTTGACCGTCGCTGCAGGTGGTCGCCATGGGAAAAGCGTCAACAGCAAGCCCTTGCCGCACCTGATCAAACACAGGGGGCGACAGCGTGTGTTAGTGAGATCTGTAGGAAGCGGAGGTCCTAACCCCCACCTGGCGTCCCGCCCCCTCCGCCCCCGACACGTGCATCCCGCGCGAACGGTAAACATTTCACCGGAACGTTCTTTGCGGCGACAAGGGTTCGTGGGCTACAGAACGCACATGCGGTGCTTTGCTTTGCAAGAGGAACCAGCGAGAAAAAAACGCCACGGCTACGACTACTGTCGTCGCCGCTGCCCTCTGGACCAACAGCAACAAATAGTACCCAGAGCAGCAGGAACAGCTGGAACTGCACAGCCAACACCCGTGACAAAATCACGGTCCACAGGAGAATGTTCACACCAACCAAGGCAACAACAACAACAGCAACAACAACAACAACCATACGCAAAGGCAGTCAACCTGCTCTTCCATGAGCCTCAGCAGCAACGCGAGGGCGTCCACGCTGGCCTCCGACACGGCCCGTCCCGCTGTAGCAACCGCCGTGTACGCGCGAGACACCTCCCGCCGGAGAAGCCCCACAGCCCCGCCACCACCACCACCACCACCGCCTCGCCCACCGCCCCCTTCCTGAACGGAGGATGACGACGCTGACGCTGCTGCTGCGGCGGCGGCAGCGGCGGCGGCGGGCTCATCGGTGCCGTCGAACTGCCTGGACTTGCGCCGCTCCATGCCGCGCGCCTCATACGCCTTCATAAGAAAAGCAGCAGTCGACAGCGGAAAGAAGGCCAAAAAGATGGATGGTATGGGCGGAGTGAGGTAAGAGGTACGTTGGTGCGGGTAGAAAACGCGAATGTCGCGTTCGCAAGTGGCTAAGGCGGAAGAAGCCGGGAGGGCCGCCGCAGGACGGCTGGAGAGAGCCAACCAAACGCCACAACACACCGCTGGCGGCAACATAACATAACACTTACTCTAGAAAGTATGCATGCGTACCACCTGGCAAAAAAAAACAAATTAAAATAAAAACGGGGGGTCCGCAAAATCGTGCAGGGACCAACCTCTTTTTGGGGGCGGGGGGTACATGCATGCAGAAGGCCGCGACACACGCATCAGCTTGATGGTGCCCAGACACGGACCACGGTGCGGGGGGGCTGCCTTACGCTACATCTCTCTGTCTCTCGCCACGCCACGAACATACGCGTGCTCGTTTTCTGGATAACTTAGAGGTTCTACTTTTCGCACGATCGGCCTTTGGTTCTACTCCACCCAGGGTTATAACCACGGAAACCACTTGAAAGATTCTATGCGCACGGAATGAATCTACAACGAGTTCTGGGAACATTTTCGGAATGAAAACGACGCCACCCGACAAGATCAGCAGCCTGCACCGGCCACACGCCACCGCTCTCGCTTGGCCTCCGAATACCCTACCGAATACCCTACTACGGTCCCAATAACACCAATCAGCTCCTCCCCAAAGCGCAAAACCTTTCGAGTGGGCCTAAAACCGGTCTCACCCGCCGGGCTGTCGAAACTACGACCCAGCTATTGCTCGCCCTCCTCTCTTGACCCCCCCCCCCCCCCCCCCCCCCCCCCCCCCCCCCCCCCCCCCCCCCCCCCCCCCCCCCCCCCCCCCCCCCC